ATATGAGGCAATTTGCTGTGAACTTTAGATATAGCACTGAGGCCGAGACTGTGGGTGTTGCTACGAGAGAGACCTGAATCTGTCCTTACTCCATCATTTACTAGTCCTGTGATCTAGGGAAAATCATTTAACTTCTCTGAACCTGTTTTGGGATCTGTAGCACATGGATAGGAGTCTACCTTCACTATTTTGCCAAGGTATAATACTTACATATAATTGCTCAGTAACAATACATCATAGCATACTTTCTCAGAAGTGTCATTCTGGGTGCCTGGGGGGCTCAGTCAGTTAAGCATTTTGGTTTTGGCTCAGGTCGTGATTTCAGGGTTGTGAGATGGAGCCTGAGGGCTCCATGCTCAGCAGGTAGGTAGTCTGCTTGAAGATTCTCTCCCTCTGCCCCTCCCAACCCTGCCTCAAATAAATAAAGCTTTTTAAGACATTAAAAAAAAAACAAAAACAAAAACAAAGAAGTGTCATTCTCACATGATTCAACTTCCTTACCTCCTTTCATTTTGGATTCTCTCTCTCTACCACTTTACTGAAATCCTGAAAAGTTTATAAATGGCCAACTTTGTACCAAATTAAAATAGTTATTTTTTATTTTCATTTTGTCTGACTTTTCAGCAGACTGACCATTCTTGAATTTTAGAAAATGCTTGGGACGCCTGGATGGCTCAGTGGTTGGGCATCTGCCTTTGGCTCAGGGCATGATCCTGGAGTCCCAGGATTGAGTCCCACATCGGGCTTCCTGCGTGGAGCCTGCTTCTCCCTCTGCCTCTCTCTCTTTCTGTCTCTCATGAATAAATAAATAAAATCTTAAAAAAAAAAAAGAAAGAAAATGTTGCCTCCAGCCCTGTGATGCCACATTCTTCCACTTTTCTCCCACCTTCTATAGCTGCGTGCTTCTGCCTTCTATGCTGAGTTTTCCTCCAGCCCCACTTCTAAATGTATTGTTCTTTAGGGCTTGACTTCGGTCCTTCTTTTCTGGATATATTTTCTTTTCTTTCTTTCTTTCTTTCTTTCTTTCTTTCTTTCTTTCTTTCTTTCTTTCTTTCTTTCTTTCCATTCTATTTATTTATTCATGAAAGACAGAGAGAGAGAGAGAGAGAGAGAGAGGCAGAGACACAGGCAGAGGGAGAAGCAGGCTCCATGCCAGGAGCCTGATGTGGGACTCGATCCTGGGTCTCTAGGATCATGCCCTGGGATGAAGGCAGGTGCTAAACCGCTGAGCCACCCAGGGATCCTTGATATATTTTCTTTCTAAGTGGTCTCATCCATCCCCGACTTTAGATAGTATGTATATTCAGGGGCACCTGTGTGGCTTAGTCAGCTAAGTGCCTTTGGCTCAGGTCATGATCCCAGGATCCTGGGATTGAGCCCCATGGCATGTTTCCTGCTCAGTGAGGAGTTTGCTTCTCCCTCTCCTCCCTGCTCATGCTCTCTCTCTCTCTCTATCTCTATCTCTGTCTCTCTTAAATAAATAAATAAATAAATAAATAAATAAATAAATAAATAAATAAATAAAATATTTTTTAAAAATAGTATATCAGAATATATTCTGATGACCAGATTTTTTTCATCTAAAATCTAAATAGTTTCCCCAAATTTATAAAACCAAAGGCTACCTATTTGATATTTCCTTTGAATATTCACAGGCATTTTAACCCTAATGCATCCTAAATGGAGTTCTTGACAACTCCCTCAATTTATCTCTCCTCTGGTCCTTTGTTTCCTATTGCAGCACACAACATCAATATCCTCCCAGTTATCTAATCTTAAAACCTAGAATTTATCCTTCATTCTTCTTTTTATTCTTCTGCCTCAGTCAAACCACATACAAATTATGTCAGTTCAAATTTTAAAATATATTTAAATTAATCAATTTTTCTCCTTCCCTACCACCACTACCCTAGTCCAAGCATCTCTCACCTGAATTCCTACAATGAAATCCTAACTTATAATAAATTATTTTCCTTCCTCCAATCCAATTTATTCATGACATTATTTAAGAGATGTTAATTCTGTTTAGAATGAGGATTTTTCCAATCCAATGGCCCCCTGGGATTAGAATCCAGAAGTCACTTAATGCTGGACTTGAAAAAGATACATATATCATTTAATCCACACCCTACAGCAATAAGGACAGTCTAGGTTATGCTGCAGTAATTTTTTAAAAAGCCCCAAATCTCAGTGGCTTAAAGCAGCAAAGAGTTCTCTCATGCTCAAATTACATAACCATTATAGGGTGACTGGGGGCTCTGCTCCTAGTCATCCTCATTCCAGGACTTATCCTGATAGAGCAGCCACTGCCTGGAATCTTGCCAGTCATCATAAATGAGGGAAAGAGAGCTATAGCAAATCAGACGCTGGGTCTTAACACTTTCCCAGAAGTGACATATATCACTTTTCTCAGGGACACGGGGTGGTTGCAACTGCCCCATAAGATCAAGTTTAGACAAAAGGGGAAGTTTGAAGCCAGCTGTGACAACACCTCTGAGAAACAAAAGCTTTCCCAGAATCAATGCACTTTCCTCTGTTCTAGCACATGGCCCCTGAGGTCTCATTTGGCAGGCCTGAGAATACATGGCCACCCCTAGCAGCAAGAGAGCCTGGAAAAGAGGCAACAAAAATTATCATTAGGATTGGCCAAGCCTACTTCTGCCTTGAACAAAAAACGTGTTGGGTTGGCAAGGAACGCCATGGGGGTAGAATGGGCTGCGATGGATATTAAAGCAACTGACAATGCCTACCTCATTTGTTGATCGATTAAAAGGTAGTATTATTTTTAAAGTTGATAGAAACTTTTATTTAAAAAAAACAAAGTATAGATCAACACTGAATCCATAGTAGCAATATTATGTATCTTCTCTACGGATACAATTTAAAAATACAATAAAGCTTGTACAGTCAGTTCTGCTATAAGACTTGTTATGAAAACACAAACTGGTTCCAATAAGATTGATACCTTAAGGAACTGTTTGGACATTACACAATTTCACATTTGCTGACGTGTGATTCCAACCACTTAAAACATGAGGTGAATGCAGAAAACTGTATCCAGATGCCCTGAGCCACAAAGGAGTACACAAAATTCACACATGCACAACCCTCCAAATTACCAGTAACCTCAGGTCACTGCCTGGGCTGGGAGCCACACTCATCCACATCTGCTGGTATCTATTTCCATCTGATTTCACAGACAGCTTGTTTCATGATCTGTAAACTGTGACCCTTCTAAAGCCCACTTCCACGAGTATCCTTCAGTTCTTTTTCAGTGTAAAGTGCCGTATTTATTAGACGATTTATGTATTTCTTAACCATTTATCACATGTAAAACTGTGCTACCATTTTTTTTTACAGTTTTCTATGGGTCACTAACAAAGTTTTGGAGTGCTGTGTGCTTAATTCCTGTAAGTCCTACAGTTTTAATGGGCCAAGCCTGCAGGACTGTACCCAAATAGTGTATCTCTGTTATTTACCAGGTGAACACGGGCAGACATATTATATATATATATGTATATATATATAATATTAGAATACAAGTGAAACTTTTTAATGGGAATCAAGAAAGCTCATTTTGCATCTTGGTAGTGAGTGTGCCTTTTAAAGTATTTATTAAATGCGCTTGGGAGTGCTTGTTAAAAAAAAAAAAGGCTATCAATTATATTAAATAAAAACCATTCAGTATGCCAAGCTATATATAGATGTCTCTACAGTGGGTGAAGATTTGTCATTTATCTTTTAAGGTAATTATGCAAATTATATTCAGCCCACACATCTTGAATCGGAAAAAGGGTTTTCATCTTTTTTCCCTCATTTATAAACCTCGTCTAACAAGAGTTAGCCACGATCCAGAATGGGCAGCACAAAGTTGAATTTTGGCAGTAACTTTACAATAAAAGATAATTTACTTTCCTCTTTAGAGTCTCTCTTTTCTTTAACGAGGGCAGACAAAACACTCAGCACATTCCCAGAGCTTCTGTGAATTTCCCCCTTGAGAGATCTCAGTAACTTGGAGGAAAAACAACTTCAAACAAATTAATGAAAGGCCCGACAGTATTTGCCTTCCTCCCTCCCAGGCCCGGCCCCTGTGCTTTCCACTCTCTACACGTCTCTTTTCAGTTTCAAGCATTTTCTCTTCCCTTCTTTTCCCAAGGTGAGCTGCTGCGTCCTGGCACTCCCTCTGCGAAAAGGGAAAGGACCTTCCAGAAATCCCCCCCTGATGCCACAGTGCCTATTTTCCTAAACGCCAGGACAGAGAATACAGGGCTGGGACCGTGAAAGGGTTGATTTCAGGCAAGGGTCCCGGGTGGACAGGAGACAACAAAAGACTCCAGGATTCTGTGGACATTTCCTTCTCGTCTTGGGCCTGCTGCCAGGCAGGCCTCTTAAATGCGATCTCTTGTTGCCTCAAGAATGTGGATCAGGGTCTGCCAAATACATTTTTTAGCAAATAATCTAGGAGTGCTCAGAAAGGCGGAAGGGTGACCTTTGAATGCACAGAATAGGGTAGGATTCCGTACCCTATTTCTGTATCCCATTGGTTGGGATGCCAATGTACAGCCTAATCGCCCCACACTGACTCCGGGGGCCGGTCACACATGAGTGACTCTGGCTGAAAGTCCCACGCAAGCCCACGTCCGTCCCAGGCACGGAGGGCAAGGCCGTGTCCCAGTGCACCTGCACCCTGGGGCACACAGAACACCCACAGGCTGCAGGTCACGCTCCTGTGCGCTTCCCTTCGGCCCTGCCCCACCTTGTTCTTGCTTTCTCCCCCACCCCCCAGGCCCTCTGCACACAATGGGATTTTTGTTTGCTCCCGTAGCAGGTGACAGCGCACTCTCTGCTTTGCCTAGCTCTGTGCTGCTGGTCTCTCAGGTAACAGGTGGCAGCTTCCCCTGTTGGATTCTAGGTATAAAAAAGAATGACCTCATCGGGGTGGAGCTCTGGGGCTCGGCACAGGTGGCAGTCACAGCCAGGTCACCCCGGATCCAGGCAAGCCGGGGAAGCCGTTTAGTAGGAAGGGGGCAGTTCAACGGGTCACTCTAGTGGCTTCAGCCCTGACCCTGAGGCACTTGGGCAAACAGCCGTTGCCTGCAAGCCTCACGAGCTTGCCTTGGCCTCAGATGGAGCCCAGAGAAGCCAGGGGGAAAGAGAGCATGGGCACCAAGAGAAAGAATCTGACTTTCCTGAGGCCCAGGCTCTACATGCTGGAGAGAAGGAAGACGGACACCGTGGTGGACGGCGGAGCCCCTGGGGAGCACTCTGGTGCCTTGAGGAGGAGCCAGTCGGACAGGACGGAATACAGCCAGAAGCTGCAAGGTAACCGGCACGGCTCGGTTGTCCTAGGTCACTGCGCTCGCAGCCCCGTTCTCCTATGCCTCCACTTGCAAAGAAATCACTTAAGGCAAAGCGGAGAAATGGAATAGGACCTTCTCGGTAAACAGGGAAACCAGGCAAATAAGAAAATTAAAAAAAAAAATAAGAGAATGAAAGTAAATGTCATTCATAAATTACAGGAAAAAAATTATCATGTGCTTCAATACTTAACGAACCAATTCTGATTTTTTTTCTGAATATATGTATTTTTTCCTGGCAAGGGTAGTATCTCTTCTGCAATCTTCCTCCCTTCCTTCTCCCTCCTCCAGCCAGTTTAAGAAGTGGGAAGCGCTAGAAAGCAAATGATTTAAAAACCGACAAGAGATGGTTTCTCTCAATAGATAGGTGTGGGATGTCGCACCGTGAGATCTATCTAAGTAATTGTAGTGAACTGTGATTGTGGTTATCCTAAAGAGGGGCATGGAACTGCAATCATGCCTGTGAAAAACGAAGAATGTTAGTCATTGGGTTGGTATAATGGGATTTGTTGAAAATCACAGAGGTGTTCATTCCTTTAGAGTGAATCGAGCTGTATCCAAATATGGTAAGAGATGTTTAGCATGCTTAGATTGAATGACTTTTGAGGAAATAACTTCAGTTTATTTTGTGATGGTCATAAGATAGTTTGACATATAACAGTTATTATATAAAATGTCCAGTTTAAGGCCCTAAATATCTATCCCTTCCCATCCACCCTCTCTTTTTCCTCCCTTTCTCTTGAAGGTCACTTGTTCAAGCAAACTTCATTTTGATGTTGATTGTGCAATGTTTTAAGTATCCACTGCAGTACCTGTTATGTGATCCCCAGAATCCGCCTCTCCTGCTTTGAGCACACTGTGTGTTTGAGCTCTTATAATCCCATTGTGAGCTGTCATTCTGGACTGACAAATTATGATGAAGCTAGAAAGACCAACAAGACACACTTTTACTTAGTAGGTCTCTTTTCCAAAAGAAAGAAGAAAGAAAGAAAGAAAGAAAGAGAAAGAGAGAGAGAGAGAGAGAAAGAAAGAAAGAAAGAAAGAGAGAGAGAAAGAAAGAAAATGCTCAGACTTTGTAACACAAATTAAGTAAATTAAACACATTTAAATGAAATCTTTAAAGATTCCTAGTATGATTTAATACTTAAAAAAAAAAAAAAAAACAACCTGGTAGCTCAAGATTAAAAAGCAGTCAAGTTGTATCCTTAAAGGACTTTTCAAAAAATGGGAAAGGGGTATTGTTCAATCTTTTAAATTAAACTTTCTCAAGGCAGTGTATACATTGGAAGGAATGCAAATTTTAAAGCTATACACATTTGTCTTGCAATCCTGGCTCTTCAATTTATGACCTACAAGATTTGGAATAAATTACTTCTAATTTCCCAGCCGCAGTTTCCCTGTTTGTGAAAGAGGGACGATGATACCACTTAGTATTTCTGGGGGGAATAAAATTAGGTAATTATATGAAATATCTCGCATATTGCCTGACACAGGATATGTGCTCAATAAATATTTTTTATTTTAGGAATAATGGGAACAATGTTGATAAAATAAGACTTTCCCCCTATTAATCAAATTTACTAATCTATTTCAATTCTTCTTCTGTCTTTTGATGAAGAGACCGCCTAAACAAATTCAGTAAAAAGAAACCCTGGCTTTATCTCTAATAACATGTTTATTCTGTCTGAGATTTGCCAATTCAGCATCTTTTTGGTTCAGATTTTTCATTAACAAAATAAGTGAAAAATTTTGCTACTCACTTTCTAAGCTTAATTAAAAAAAAAAATTCATCTGTGACCACAAAAGAAGGCAGATGTTTGTTGGTTACTTGACAGAAGACCTCAGTCTGCTTATGTACTCCATCGGATTTGTTGTTTCCCTCTGCTTTGTAGGATCCTATCTTTGAAGCTAGAAGAAAAGACTCAGGAGTTAACCATGTTCCTAGAATTGTCTATCTAGGAGACACATCATCATGTAAAGATAGGTTGGCCCCCTGATAAATAACATTTTTCAGATGTAACTCTTAATAAAATCCAAGTCTGATATGTAATGCCTCAGAGAACTTTTAGCATGATTCTCCTGTAACTGCTTTGGCAACAATAAAAAACATTTTCATATTACCATTTAAAGCAATCAGTTTTGTTGGGTTTGTACTCTGGTCTGCATTATGCCCATTATCATACAGATGAATACAAATCACTTTAAGAATTTTTTTTATTATTGCAATGCCAAGAGTTTTTCCTCTGCCTACCTTGGAATTGGTAGTTCCCTGGGAGGCACTGAATATGGATCTGAGCTGGTTAGAGCTCTCCGTGGATGGCCCAAAGCTATTGTGAGATCACAACATGCTTTTCAATGCTGGAAGGAGGCCTTAGATTATTTAGCCAGTCTTTCAGGGCTGTGTTGCTATTGGAGTAATACGGTTCACTGCTCTCTCTCCTTGACCAAGTTCTCTGGGTTCTGGGAAATCTTAGACCTTTTTTGTGGTGCCTCTGGGCTCACCTCTTAACTCATACCACACAGTCTACTTGTTCATTCACTTTCTGGCTGACATCACTTTCGTGTGAATCCTAAATTGTAATTTCCTTAAAAATTGCACACTGTTTGAGAGCTACTAGATTAAATAATAGAACATAGTTCTAGGGGCACCTGGCTGGCTCAGTCTGTAAGGGTCCAACTCTTGATTTTAGTTCAGGTCATGGTAACAAGGACCATGAGATTGAGCCCCACATTGGCTCCTCGCTCAGCATGGAGTCTGCTGGAAAAGTGATCTCCTTAGGGGTGCCTGGGTGGCTCAATAGGTTAAGAATCTGCGTTCAGCTCAGGTCATGATCCCAGGGTCCTGGGATGGAGCCCCACATTGGACTCCCTGCTATCAGCAGGGAGCCAGCTTATCCCATTCTCTTGGCTGTTCCTCCTGCTTGTGCTCTCTCTCTCTCTCTTTGTCAAATAAATAAATAAAATCTTTAAAAAAGAAATATCTCTCCCTCTGTCCCCCCTATGTGCACACGTGCATGCTCTCTCTCAAATAAATAAATAAATAAACCTTAAAAAAAAAAACATGGTTCTAATGAGAGTATCATAAAATCTTTGTAGGAGGCTGTGATCACAGACTTATTAGTCATTAAGCCTCAAGTTGTACAATAACAATTCTTTGCTAGCCTATTCTTAATGGCTCTTTTATTCCTTCAACAGATTTGTTCAGTTAATTGGCATTTATTGGATATGCTATGTGGTAAGCAAAACCAGAATATGTGCCAGGGATTACAACTACAAAATCATTAAGAAAAAAAAATGTCTGACCTTTACTCCAAAGGGGCTTAAAGTCTCATTGGGAAAGATAAGACAGGTAAACAAATGCAATAAAGTGTCATGACGGAGTACAGGTGGGATCAGAGGGTCCATAAAAGGAGGAAATGGTCTTCTCAGAATTGGGCAGAGGAGCTTGGTGGAAAACACTGTCGTTAAGAGTTGATAAGGTGGGCGGGGGGAGAAAAAGCTGAAGGGGGAGAGAAGTGTGTTTTAACTTCTTCATCGTACTTACCTCGGTCTGAAATTTTGTGGTTTGTTTTCTTGTTTATTGCCTATTATTGACTTCCATTTCCTCTCCCATCTTTCATCCCCCACTCCATGAAAGAGACCTTATCTGTCTTGGTAACTATTCCATCTGTGCACTTAGAATCATGCCCAGCACACCATAAGCACTCAGTATCTTTCAAACAGAATGAATGACTTGAATGAACTGGTCCAGGTAAGGAATCAGTGTGAGGAAAGGCATTGGAGCCTGAATTAATAGCCCTTGTATCTTCAAATGTGAGGATACATGTCTCTATTAATAAAGACAACTCTCCAGTAAAAAGAAATAAACATATTAGGGATGAAAATGTACAGAATTGCCTAGATAATAAATAATTCCCAGTGGGAGCCTATTTCATTCCTGACTCTACCTTTTAGAGCACAGCAGACCCTCCTTTGACTCATTCCTCTTCTTCCATTCATCACAAGAGCTGCATCACCTTAACTTCCCACCTAGCTCAGCTACTCATTGCCACTTTACCGGGAGTCACAGAGAATGATCAAGGCAGGGGAAACGTACTGGCTAATTTATTCAGACTCTTTCTTTAAGGAATGATTTTGTGCATGATTATATGTGTGAGCTCTACATTTGAAATATGCCTAATTTAAAGTTATGTTTGTACAAGTGTGCCTGTGTATATACAAATTACCTATCTATCTAAGTATGTAGATACAGTTGTGTATGTACTTGAGACATTTCTGTAATGATTGAAACTTATTGTACTTATTGTCATTGTTTAACATTCAGCAGCCTTTTCTGAAAACCATACATGACTGATATAACTGACATTATAGGTTTCCTCTCAGTGTGGGTGATCTGGAATGACTATTTATAACCCCTCCTAATTCAAGTATTGAAGCCTAATCCTCAATGTAGTATTATTTGGAGGTGGGGTTGGGAAAGATAATCAGGTCGTGAGGGTAAAACCCTGCTGAATGGGATTAGTACCTTATAAGGACAATATGAGAGCACTCGCTCCCCCTCTCTCTGCTCTCTGCCATGTAAGGATTTGAGAAAACAGCCATCTACCAGGTAGGAAGGGGGGCCCTTACCAGACACTGGATTGGCCTTGAACTTGGACTTCCCAGCCTCCAAAAGTATGAGAAATAAAATGTTTGTTGTTTAAGCTACCTAATCTATTGTAGATTTGTTATAACAGCCCAAACTAAGACAGTGGGTCAGTTGCTTTTATTCCATATGGCCACAGTAAGCCTCTGGTTAATTTTTTGGCTAATGCATATTCTTGCTTGTCAAGTATCAGGTGAAAGAGTGACATTTTATGCCATTACTGTTGCTGATAACACAAGTCAAATCCACATCCCCAATTCATAATAGGTCTGTAGTATTTTCTTGTCTTTCCTTTTTTCTTTTTTTGCAAAGACTGTCGT